GGTAGTACGTGTGATTGGTGATCGCGATATCTGTGGTTCAAAAAAGGTACACCATTTACACATTCCCCTCTTTTACCTTGTATCCTCTACTTTTCGTATGCTTTATGCATGTGTTTGCACAGTGCAGCTTCGCCTTTATGTTAAACTTTTGATATGAACTTAGATTGCTTCTCCAACTTTTTTCACATCTCAAAACTGTGTGTCTCGATTGATTCACAAAATTTCTTGATGCAGTATATAGCTAATGCTTGTCTACTACAAATCACTTCAGTTGTGTTTTTTATCAATTTTTATAGAAAGTGCACCTATAATCTTTATAGTTTTACACGCTGAGAGAACACACGATAAAAACGGAAAAAATTACACCTGGCTCAAAATTTTATGCAGGATTTTTCGAAAATTTTTTAAAGCTGCTCATCTGCAAAAACCAAATGTCAGTACTCAGTTTTTGAAATTTCTGAAATATATATGAACTTTATATTCATACATACATACATACATACATACAAAATGCTTATGTGATGTTCTAACAAAATAATCCAAGTGAGTCAAAGTAATGTCAAAGTAAGTGTTAAGTTTGAACCCTTTTACGTTTGCGAAAAATAACGTCGCTGAAAAATAGTAATAATTTTGAGTCCGAGGTAGTAAATTGTTTAAGACTGTACAAAGAAAATTCTGTCGATAATAATTAGATAAAAGTTTAAGAATTGACCGAAGAATTTCGAATAGAAAAAAATAGAAGCCAACTTCTTCTTGAAAAGCTAGAAAAACACCAGCGGATTTAGGGGGAGGGGGGTTTTGACGCCTCTCCTCCCCCTAAGGGGCTCGACACCCCTGTGTACAAAAAGGGTCCACCCATATCACTATTTTGAGATATCGATTTTAGGCTGACTGACCCAAAATATTTCTGAAGGAGCCTTTGGCCCCAAAATATACCAATTTTGAGGGGGGAGCGCGCGCGAAATTTGGTCAAAATGGGGATTTATAATGATTTGGGAGAGCTCAGAAAATCAATTTGGTCGACCCAAAAAATTTTGAAAATTTTTCCCTCGGGAAAATCCTAGATCCGCCCCTGGGTAAAAAGGTTTTCTCTAATTTCTGTCATTTTTGGTTTTTTTTTTGTATTTTACAAGCTTATATGAGCCAATTGAAGCATCTTAGTAAAGACCAAATGAAGCATCTTCAATTTTTCTGCTTGCTAGTGCGCTGTCTCGACTCGAATAATTTTTTGTCCGAATGACTTAAATTGGAATTCGTTTTTGCAAGATGAAACTGAAAGTAAGTTGCTTCGGCAAAAGTTTTTTAATTTTTTTTGCGGGAGTCACGATTATTAATTGTCAATGAATAGTATTCTAGGTAAATTGCTCGAAAGTTTTAGAAGAGAACATTTTTTTTCCTTGAAATTGTTTAACTCAGCAAGTGTATTGCAACAGGTTACTATGCAAATTTTCCCCTTAATTAACTTTATTGACATGATTTCAGATTTTAAGTGATCTTCCAATCTGTGCTTTCGTCAGTCAACAGACATATTTTGAGCATGTGTGCATTTGAGTTACTCGTTATATTCTTAATTAGTCCTATGGTGGCTTTAAGTTTACCAACTCCGATTTGTTGAAATACAATTTTTTTGTTCTTTTTTCTTTTTAATCACCCGCACTGAAGTTTCAACAATAATAATCAATTATTTTAGATTTTCATTGTCAGTCTTTATAAAATAACAAAAATAAATGATTATAATCGGTTGAAAATGGATTAAAATGATAATATTTTTTAAGCGATAAAGTCCCATTATAATCTATTATAACCGACTGTAATTGATTATTTTCAACTTATTTTCAAAAAACCTTTATAGAAGAAAAAAAATCAATTTTAATCGCTTCAAATGAATTATACTTCAAAGGTTTCATCTCATAAAATATCAGGCTATATTATATAATGTTTTTGTTAAATTGCGAAAATCATGAAACGTATGCTAGTTTATGGTCATCCAGGGATATTTAAAGTTTTGTCTCTGGAATCAGGAACAAACAGACAAAAAATTGTGCGTTTATCTTTCAAGTTTTTGTTTTTTTTTACTTAACAAATAATGCCAAAAAAGTCGAAATGCTGCGGCAACCAGCAAAAAATATCTTGACATTTCATTCGCGCTAGACTTTAAATCAGCCAAATTTCATCATATGTCAATGAATTTGACTATTTGTGAAATGAAAAAACTCCTGTTCTCAAAACCAATATTCAGCTCTTTTTTGATAAATCGTCTCATGATTTCATTGTTTTTTTACCTTAGAATTTTCTCATTTTTTTGTGGATTCGATACATTTCAACTTTTGGGAATTTCAGCTTGAGTTGTTAATGCGTTTTCAAAGCAATTTTTTCTGATAGCAGTCAAACCATAAATTTTTGTGGAAATTAAATTGGTGATCACTTTTTGTCCACTTGATTTGATCAAAAAAAATTGACGACTCATTTTGGTTTTCTTATTTTTTTAATTTTGTTTCAAATCACTTCAGAAAATAAGTTAGCTTACTACATTTTTCAGTAAAAAAAAGTTACTATTCTTCTGTCCGAGTAGTTTTCTTTGGTTTGAAATTGATCATCAAGGAAGATTAAAGATACAAAAAATTTATTCAACAAATCATTTTTTTTAAATTACAGTATTCCACGATAGAAACTTGTGAAGATGCAAATACAATGAATACAATGAATTTCTAAACACTGAATGTAATATGTAAAACTTCTCTGAAGTATGAGTTAAAACGTGATCAGAAGTTTTCCTTGACAAATTTGATGTCCGATTTCAACAAAACTGCGCATTCATCCGTCGCATTTCGAAGAGTATCCACTTCCGTTCGCAGTTGTTTGACCTTCAAAAAAATACTCATTTTAAAAAATATTAAAATTGTTTTAAAAAAATAGAAATAAAGTAGAAAATAAGATCTTTAAGGCAACTGACCTCTTGGTTTCGATTGGCCACAACTTCCCGGAAATAGACCAACTCCTGTCCGAGCTTTTCCAGATTCACTTCGATTTCCTTTTCTGACTTCTTGAAATCGTCAGTAATTTTCCCTACCTGCTCCAAGAAGCCCTCCAGGCCTGGTACTTGAGCTGCTTTCGAATCCAGCTCGGACCCAAAGTCTTTCGAAATTTTACCTTCTGGCCTTTTATGGGCTTTTCTGGCATCCGATGCGTGCATTAGAACGCAAAATACAGCAATGAAAACGAAAAAAGACAACGTTGTCAAGTTAACAAGCTTCATCTTTTTAAGTTCAACGTTTTAAGCTCTGCGGTTTGTCAGTTGATTCGTACAATATAATAAGTTCATATATTTGAATATTCAATAGCAGCATTAGAGCATGTTTTTAAAGCAACGCATAGATTCAGTTCTAATGAATTTCATGACTGAAAATTATAAAATATGCACGTTTCTCTCGTTTTTGTTAAAATTGGTTTGATTAAAAGCTAGTCTAATTTTGAAGTTTGGTAACCTTTTATCATTTCTATTTGGATTATTCGAATGTTTTTTTTTGATATATCAGCTTGAGAATATAGTTTAGAAAGTTGGTTGAAAAGAAAAATTCTCTAGACGTTTCTTAATGCCCCCCCCCCTCCAAAAAAAACCGTTTCCCTAAAAACTATTCAAGAAGTTGGATCATGTTAACTATCCCCCCCCCCCCTATTGCAATGGAGAAATACAAAACCAATCCAGTTGAGCATAAATAAAAACCAACGGAAATGTGTTTTTTGATAGGGGGAGATTCTTTACAAGGTACCATTGGGGGGGGGGGGGGGGGGGGGTAGTCGAAAATCCTACTTATTTGAACCATTGAACTCTCATATTTTTTATCGGAACTGAATATGTTTTCAATTTCTTTTGGGTAGTGGAATTAGAGAGCAATAAAAATGCAGCTATTTTAATATGCAATGTTTTTTTTCGACTAAAAAATAAGTCTTTTGAGATGGTTCAGGGAGCACGCATAAAAAAGTACAAAACTTTGATGTTTTGCTAAACTCCTTTCAAATACTTGCCTTTGTCGCAGAAAAATTTGTCGAAAAAATATTCACAGCAATTCGGGATAGCTTAATTTAGTAAATATACAAATACAATGAAAAAAATTCGATAGAATTTTCAATTTTTAAGAGAAAACTTTTTCCCCTAAATAAGGAATAATGGGAACAGTTCTTTATTTGTTATATACGATTTGAGAATTGAATGTTTTCAGCGGATAGTTTTTGGCCTTGAATGAATCAATTTTTGTGGCTATTAGGAACGTAAACGATTTCGGCTAACCGGTCACCAAAAAAATTTCGGTTCTTCGGGAACATCTTTGTTATTATCGGGAACGATTTTCTTTTTAGGCTATCCACGCTTTTGATCAGATATAACTGTTGGATTTATCACTACGTAGCCAAACTGTGAACTGAATGGGCGCACAATTTAGTTGGTCTAGTTCACCGGAGTCCATAGAAATTTTTTAAGCATGTTGAAGCGGATGTTCAGCGGAAGCAGAAAAGCGAAAAGTATAAAAATAAAGAGTGCGATTATGACTTTTCATCTTAAAACACGTAATTTTTAATCTTATGTTTTGTTTGATAAAGGATAAAAATGTGAAAAAAAGATGATATTTCAGATGTTTACAGCTCATAGCTTTTTTTGGATTTTTGGACATTTTTTTCCGGCTCATCGATAGTTTACCCAAATTTTGTCTGCCTAATTGATGCGCGTTAATATTTCTGAAAAATAATTTCACGCCAGTGATTGTGTTGCTAAATTTTTGGATCTACTTAACAATTGCCCACCCTTTGGTACCTACTTAAAAATTGCCACCCCTATTAATAAAAGCAGTTAATTAGCGCTAGAGCTTTGTATCGAGACTTCTAATTTTGCTGCAATCTGATTGTCTGATTGGTCGAAAATGCGTTATATTAATCTACTTAACAATTGCCCCTCCTTTCTTAAAGGGGGAGGGGGGTAATTGTTAAGTAGATCCAAACTCTTTTCCTCCAACTAAACAGCATACGAGAAACAATGTTTGTAATTGTGGTTTTTAAAAAGTTTTTCGACAGTGGCTTTCAAAAATTTTCTTCAAAAATTTCTCTTTTTGCTGATGATACCACTCTGGTTAAGCCCGACACAACTCGCACTTTCTGTGATAAGCTTAGAAAAATATGAAACGTGGCACAATAATTCACATTCACGAAAACTGCAGTAAAAATTTCGAAATATGATGTCATGACCTTCGGAAAAAAATGCTATCAATTTTAATTCAGTTTGCTAAAAAAAACGGTGCAAACTTTTTTTCAAGTAGCTTGGAACGAATTTGATTTGAAAAATAGTTTTTCTGGTGTCCAACCAGTATATGACATCCTATTAAATCAGCTGTTTTCTGTAACTTCATCTCTGTGAATAAATCCTCACTTGCTTTTTTGAGATTGAATAACTTTAAACCTGCAAAAAACTAATTATTATGTAAAACCTCGTACAACGAATACTCTAAGAGACGCAGTTTCGGCTGAAGTAGCTTGTTGCTATAGTTTATTGTGACTCATGACCTGCCTCCAGAAGAAGTTTGCGGTCTCCTCCGAAGTTCAGAAAAAGCGTTTTTCCAAACTTCTTAAAAAACCGTTTTTGATCGATAATAACCTTCTGGCGGAAATGGATTTTTTTCTGGAAAGTATCTCCCTTCATTTGATTTCTATGTATATTAAAAATTCCCCAGGGAAGGCGTTTGACTTCACATTATTTTGCTGGCCACGATTTTAAAAGAAAGTAATTTTTGGTATTGAAACTCCAAATTGACTTCTCATGTGATTTCATATAATATAAAGAGCAAATATTAACCTTCTCGTTTCAGTTGGTTATATGTTTAAAGGTCGGTTTGATTCGATTTTCTTAAAGCTTGGTTACTCAACTGGTCTGTACTTTCATTCATGACTGCAAATAAATCGACTGATTTGGTGTTATATGGAGCTACTGGTTTCACTGGAAAAATCGCTTGCGAGTACATTTCATCAAAAGGTGAATCGTTTTTTAATAATTTCAAGTGGGTAATTGCAGGTAGAAATTCTCAGAAGCTTGAATTACTGAAAAAAGAACTTGTGTCGAAGTTTTCTTTCTTGGAAAGTCTAGAAATCTTCATAGCCGATTCAAGTGACTCAGATGCGCTGGATGTCCTGACTTCAAAGTGCAAAGCAGTGATTTCTTTCGCTGGGCCTTATTCAAAGTATGGCTCAAAACTGGTCGAAAGTTGTGTCAAAAATGGAACTCATTACGCCGACTTGACAGGCGAAGTTTTCTGGATTGCAGAAATGATTGAAAAATTCGAGGAGCGTGCTAAGGAAACTAAAACGAAGTTGATACCATCGTGTGGTTTCGACTCAATTCCGAGCGATTGGGGAGCGTACAGCATTGCTAAACTTTTCCGAGAAACGCTTAATGAGGATACCAAGTACGTTGAAGGAGTTCTCTGGAACGCTAAGGGCGGGTTTTCAGGGGGAACTGTTGCTTCAGGGTTTGAAATAGCCTCACCCGAAAATATCCAAAAACACAACTTGGTTATGAACGATCCTCAAGCTTTGAATGCAAAAGACAAACGTAATGGGCTTGATGTATCAGATAGAGATAATGTTACATGGGATAGTGAAATACAGCAGTACCTCGCGCCATTTATCATGGGTCCCGGAAATTCCAGAATTGTGAGACGATCCAACGTTTTCAACAACTATGGCCCGGATTTTACGTACAATGAGAGCGTCAAATCATCGTGGCTTGGCGGGAAGGCAATAGCTTGGGGTCTCTACTTCGCAAACTGGTCCTTATCAAGTCCTTGGGTCCGACCAATTGCTCAAAAAGTGGCACCAAAACCAGGCGAGGGTCCAAAACAAGAAGACATGAAAAATGGGTTTGCGCATATGAAATTTTTTGGGCAGAGCTCGAAAAGTGGGAAAAAAGCCGTTTGCAATCTGATGATTAAAGGAGACCCTGGATATCTTATCACTGCTCGTATGATAGTCGAAGCAGGTGTTGATTTGGCTAAGGAAACAGAGAGCATGGACGCTTATGGGTTCAGAACTCCTGCGAGCGGACTTAGTGAAAAGTGCTTCGAAGCTCTGCTCCAAAATGGATTCGAAGTAAAAACGTCTCTCGTACAAGAATTTACCGAATCCACTCAGTAAGACTCAGCCGAGGGTGGTGGAGGGAAGGGACCGCGACTGCTCTCTTTTCCTCAATTCTGGTTACGACATTTACCCAAAGTGCCCCCTGACCAACAACAAAAGTTTTCTAAAAGCGCTGACGACGCTAATAACTATTTTTAAGAGGGGAGCCCGCGCCGAAAAAACGTAATTTTTTGGTCAATTGTTTTTAAAATCAAATTGGTCTCTGAAAAGAGGTCGGCAACATTTTCAATTTTTCTCCAAAAAAAAACAACCAGAAAAATTTCTCTGCATGCCACTGGTAAATCTTTTTAATTTTTACTTAAATTATAAAACTGCATGTTCAAAAATATTCAAAAAAGATACATCATTTGGAAATAGCTATTCAGTAGCCAAACTTAATACGTTGAAAATTCTTGAGATAAACACCGGCCCGCAAATTCAACCTAAAATAAGCCCTTATCGACTCAATTTGATTGACGAGTTTAGTTAGAAACTACGAACAAATCATACGATGAAAATACTGTGAAAATGCAGGAAAACTTTTTCAAGACTAGTTTTATACAAAAAGATGGAACTTCTAGTGACAACTTTTCAATTTGGCTTTAACGGGGTCAGCAAATGTTTTTTGAATTGTTTTCCCGCTTCAGATGGAACATCTCAAATGCAGTGCAAGAATGAATTTTTTATTAATAGGATTGCTACTCAAACCTTTTTTGATTATGATAAGTTTTGATTCGAACTTCACAACCTACCCAAGCTGATCAAAAGTGTTTCTCAATAATTTTCATATATAAAAAATGCTTATCATACCAAGTCTATGATTCCATTCGCTTAACAATTTGTATGAAAACTCCATGATAAGCTTTTTTTCATATATGAAAAATGTGTGACAACCAATTTTCTTTTTATCAAAAATGTATGATGAATATTTTTCCATAAATAAAGTTTACGAAATTCGCTTTGATTTTCATGTTTTGTCCGAAAACACAATAACCAAGGTTATTAATTTAACAAGAAAACCCATAGGTGTAAAAGGAAGAATCGCACAAGTGATATGAATTTAAAGATTTGCCACGAAAGTTAATGAATAGAGTTTCACCGTAACTTTTTGTATATGGCTGGAAAGTTTTTAGTACAAAACGTTTTTTTATGTTGTTCAAAATTAGGGCTAATTTTATAAAAGACAGAATAAAATTTAAGTTAATTTATTATAAACTTAGACAGAATAAAATATAAGTTAAAATATAAGCCTGGACAGAATATAATCTAAAATAAAATAAGAAAACATAAAATTATATTCCGATTCACACAAAAATTCATATTCACTTTCCATTCATTTTTACAAAATAATCAGCTTGGACTATGTTATAGACAAAAGACACATTTTTTTGGAAATTGTTTGTATGAGCATTGAAGTGATACTGCAACAAAAAAGGAAAATAATTGTCCCCCTAGTTTTGGAAGTTTTTTTGAAAGTTTTTCCTGTCATGTGAAAAAAGTTTATCATACAATTTTTATATAGGAAAACCGTATATAATGGTTCTGACTCATTTGTGAAAAAACTCCAGTTCATACTATAAACATTTTTAGTGAGCTGTCAGCAATGACAAAAAAAATTGTTTAATTTTTTGCGAAACGAAGTTGAAAAAAGCAAATCTATTGAACATTCCATTCCAAAAGGCTGAATCTTCTGTTTTTCATTCTTGGAAAAATCAAAATTTTGTAGCCTATTAGACTCATTACCATGCCAAACTGTACACTGGTTAGGCGCACATTTTGTGTGTGTAGGTCACAGGAATTTAGAGATAAGACTCTATCAAAAGAAACGCAAGAATTAAAAAAGATCAAAGACGGTGCTCTTCAAAGACAATACAGTTTGCTTCACAATTTACATTTTGGACGTGTAATTCTGTTTTTTAAATGAAGAATCAAGAAAATTTGACACAAAACTTGAAAGGTTTCAGTCGATATATGTCCCGTATAACCAAACAAAAAGCTTTTTTGGTAATGATGTTTAAAAACTGGACTTTTTTGTAGTTTTCAATTTAAAAAAAAAAAAAAATCGGTGTAATTGGTAAAATTTAAAAAATGGAATTATAGTTGTGCTATTGAACTAATTGAATTGCACAAAATAGGTAGAAGCATCGAAGAGGAAAGCTGAGTTGTTTGTGTTATTTTTGGTTATAGTCAAGTGACAAGAAGTTTGCTTCTGTAGAAAAGCCTACTTTTTTGAATTTTGTTTTGATTAGCTGTTAAGCATTGTGATAAATGTTCAAATGGGGAGTAAATTTTTTATAGATTCTTCAAATTGAGGGGAAAACTTCCTATTTTTTTGTTTTAGCTTCAAATCTGACTAGAGTTTTTTGTCATAAATTCAAACGCGTTGTAGGTTTTGAACATATATGCATAAACTAACGTTACTTTTTGATATGCATGCTGAAATGGTTCTTGTTTTTAACAAATGATTTTGTGTTTCAAACTCAATACGATAAGCCTACATGAAAGTTTTTCTCGGGAACAAAAAAAATTGAAAAAATTATATATACAGCAAAAATCAACAATTGAAAACAATTGCAAAAAAAGTCTTAGTTTTTAGGATTCAAAATTATTCTTGTATCTTTATCTTGTGAGCATAATTTTTGCTAATGCGAAAATGCAAATGGGTTTTCAAACTCTTACAAGTAACTGAATCAAGCTGTGAGTCAAGTACCTAAAAGATGGTCAAGTAGCAAATAGCTGAAAAACAGCAACCAAGAATGTAGATATCAAGCTGTCGAAATGTAAAAAAAGTCAAGTAAACATAAATTGATTTATACAAAATTTGGAAGGTTATACCCCTTTTCAGTTTTCTTTGGCTGCATGAAAAGATTTCTAAAAGATAGTAATTGGCGCCGCGATTTCAGCGTAACTCTTACTTAACTAAAATTAGCCTAAAAGACCTGCGTTTTAGCTAAAATGCTTGACGCGAATTTCCTAAACTAAATAACAAAATAGTAACTCTCGTAAAATTTTAAGCATTGTTTGTTCCTATAACACTTTTTGCCTAAACTCGACCATTTTTTTAGAGAAAAAAGCGTTCAAATTTTCTACTTTGAAAACTTTAACCAGATAATTCAAATCAGCAGTTTTAACGAGACAATTAATTTTTTTATTTATTGTGGGTTAATTGCATATGGCATTTGTCAAAGTTTTTAAAAATAATTTCAATCCGTTTTGGTGTGGTTCATAGAAGATAAAAAATTTTATAGTTGATAGAGATTTCGAAAAAGAATTTCAAAAAACTTGTGTCTACTTTTTTTGAGGTCGACCAAATTGAATTCCCGAGCTCTCCCAAAGCACTAAAAAGACCCTGTTTTAGCCAAATTTATGCGCCGCCTCCAAAGTTTTTGAAAAAATAGGCCTCAAAATTGTTTTTAGGCACTTTTTGGAAAAAATTGACCAAAAAATGCGTTTTTCCGGCGCCCACTTCCCACTGAGAATTTTTATATTTTGGCGCCCAAGGCGCATTTAGAAAAATTTTAGGGTCAATCAGCACAAAATGGATATCTCAAAATAAAACAAAGGGGGGACCCTTTGGGTCTGCAGGGAGTCAAATCCCTGAGGTCGGAGAAGCACCCCCCCCCCCCCCATCCTAAATCCGCCCCTGATTACATTCGCAAAACGCTCAGCTACTTATTTGCTTCGAAATTAAATACATCCTCGGGCAATTTTTTTTATAGTTCCCCCATAACACTACAAGCACCATTTTTTGATAATAATTTCGGAGCCGTAGGCGTTTTTTGGAAGAATGCGAACAAAAAAAACTTGCATTTGAGTTTAGTATACCATTAACTCAAAAATTGAGTTTGGTCTACCATAAATAGATGACGTAAAAGAGTGCCAAAAGACCCTTTGGGTTGTCAGGGTTAAAGATCACACCCCCTACCCCACCCATCCGATTAAACCCGCCGCTTCATCTCTTCTGGAACTGTCAAGAATAGTAGGAATTACAATTCAAAACTATTTAAACACAAAAAAGCCAGATTGTATGGTTTCGTTCACTCTCTGGCTCAAAATTTCGATTTCATTCTCAAATATTTCATCACATTTTGTCTCTGTCTTTCATTCAACCTCTTCAATTGATTTCTGAAGATTTCTCGATTTCTCTTTTCTTCTTCGCGCTGTTTCTGTTGCTGCCACTTTTCGACTTGGTCGATTTCTTCCTGTGATCTCGTGTCTATTACAGTGTTGTTTTCTGGGTATACTTTTAAATCGGGGTCTTTCGGTCCGACCGGTTTTGTTTGTGTGTGCCAAACGTGTATTCCTCTGCGGCCTGATTTGCATCATAATAAAAATTTAAAAACAGGATTCCAAATTTTTTCATAATAGTTTTAACATGCTGAGCTGTTCGATTTATCGGTTTTTCCCATTAATGCCCCTAATAAAATACAAAAATCAGTGTTTGGCGGGACATAATTTTTACTAGGCCGAGGGGGCTGTAATGGGAAGAACCCGAATAACCATAGGGGAGCGGTGGTGAAGTGGTTACGTCTCTGCCTCTCAATCGAAAGGTCGGATGTTCGAGGCCCACCATGATCCGTGCTCGTTGCTTGAGGGTGAAGCAACATTACCCAGCCCAGAAAAATAACCAAAAAAATAGCATGTAGTTCTTAAACAAGGGCACAACAGCGGTTCGCCGTGATGAGCTGTACAGCTCTTGTGTTGGTCCTTTCCCCCCTGGATAAATGGTCTTAAACTTAATTTGGGAAATTTTCAGTTAAATGAGCACATTATAAAGCCAGTTTCTTTTGTTTTGTACTTAGAATGCTAGGAGGTATTCATGTTTCACTAGCAATTTTTTGCATGAGCTATTTCAGGAAACCACTAACTTACTAGCAGGCAAAAAAGCTTGCAATATCAAATTAAAAAACATACAAATCTATCATCGGAACACTTTGAACACCACAAAAAATGGTCTATTTAATTCTCCCACTAAGTTCGACCTTCATTATATGGTTAAGTACACAAGTTTCATTGCACCTTCGTTGCGAATTGAAGGTCTTCAAAAATATAGGTACACCTCACCTAACATGAACAAACCGTAGAGGTTTTGTAAGCTAGATTAACAGTCGTGCAACTGACCTGAAAAGAACTCCATTTCTGAGAGAGGAACTCCAAATGACTCGAGAAACTCACTTTCCATTGTGCCCTGAAACTGAAAAGTTTGACTCCTATGATCCGAACGAAAATGATGAGAATGATGAGAAAAAATTTAACCCAGTGCAAAGTTGCATATAAGTTCACAGATAGGAGTCCTATCTGGGAAATGATCTGCAAGTTTGATCCCAGATTCATCATTTTAATTAAAGACAATAAAACTTGAGCCCATTTTATAAAAACTCGATGGGTGGAAGAAACTTTGACCAATTGATACTTTTAAAAAGATATTGAAAACCTGAAGCCTGAAAACAAACGAATTAAAAAAAAATTAAACCTTTTTTGTATAGGAGCCCACCTTTCTACTTGTCCTTTTGTTTTTATCTTTCCAAGGCGGTTGGCAATGAGCTGAAACGCTCTTTCAACAGCCCTTCCAGAGAACATATTGCTTGAACTTCATTAATAATATAATGTTTCTGGATGAATTAATTCAATTCAATTCAATTCAATTGGTGGTCCTTAATTTCAGATTATTGAATTCACTCATTTGATAACGTGAACAAACAGTGATACCATTAAACCAAATAAAAAACTAGGATCATTTTGGTTTTTTATGAAAAACACTTCATAGAACTGATTGCAAGCTTTTACATACGAGCCTGAGCTTCTGTTTCCTTGATCAGTTTTGGCTTTTTACAGATATCTCGAAACAAGCTAATAATATTTAAGTCTTTTGAATTTGAGATAGCTACCACAATTGAGTTTAATTTATCAACCACAAAGTACCGATTTTGAACGGCTGTTGAAATCCTTGCAGTCTTTTTGAAAGAGCCGTGTGAGAAAAACTGGTAAAAAACGTATTCTGGATTTATACTTGAAATTCTGGCGCACGAAATCTATATGACCACTTTAGGTCTTGACATTTTTCTGGTCTCTCGAAGCAATCTAAAATATGAATAACTCTTCATAAAGAGAATTGTTTTAAGAATTGAGGGGAATTTATCGAGCACCAAGCTGAAGTAGGCACCAATTTGGAGGATTTTGAAGGCTTTACAGTCTGCTTAAAAACGCCGTGTGAATTTTTTTATGATTATTTTTCGACTTTTCAAGCTTAGTGAACATTTATTGCAAATTTAAAGATCGAAGAAAAGGTATCATTATAGGGAAAATTGTCCAGTATTTCAAAACCTATGGCAAAAAGCTTAGAAATAATTGTTATTTAACTATCTGCCTTCCTTAATATATGAAAAAAATAGACAAGGTATCGACGAATCAAATTTTGCAAATGGATCAAAGAATTTTTTTTTACTCTGGATGATATATGCTCTTCATTTATTTGTGTCCGGTGTCAATTTTATTGTTCATTTTAGTGGCTAAAATGTCATTTTCAGCAATATTGAATCAAGAAACCTCATGAAAAAATTTGAGAAAATTACCTATAGTCCCCCTACACTTTGTTTATATATGAGCTCATTCATCTTATATCATACTAAAACAAAAAAAATAACCGGTTACTGCGCAAGTAGCACAGAATGTTTCGACCAGTCTTAAAAACTACAACAAGAAAGTATTTTCAAATAAGAGTCGTTTTTTATTGGTGCGCTGTGATAAAAAACAACTGAACAAAAACTTGAGATTAGGCATAAATGACTACCAGATTTTTTTTACTAATGAACTTTTTGATTTCAAAAAGGCGCTAAAAATCTCGCGTTATTCGGGTAAAAAACTTTTTACATTTTAAATTAAGCTATTAAAAGCTTTTCAGCTAATAAAATAAACTATAGCAAGCTTGCTAGCTCGCTTTACTTGCTCAAATTAGGACAAAAAAAAATTCAACCGGTTTTTCCACACACTGGAAAATTTTTTTTGAAACGTTTTAATGACATTCGAATCACGACTTTAAGGGCTTTATTATGATATATCACTATGCTCTTTTCGATGATTAATTGTGATAGCTGATTATGCTTGAAAAACGAAAAAAATATATTAAGAAGAAAAAAAATTAAAACACGCCCAAATATATAGTTCCTTCTCATTTTTCAAATGGTCTGAACAATAATGAGACCAGTGCAGCAGGAACAAAACAAGTTCATACAATTGTAATAGAAAAATCCCATTGTATTGTTTCCGGTCTTTTATATACTAGCTTGATCTTTTGTTTTCGCTGACTAACTAATCAGTCGATATAAAACTTTAATGATTTGTCCAACATAACAGTTACAGAAGTGAATTTACAGTTACAGAGGTAGACACCTGGGTAAAAAAACGTTCACTGAGAAACCTGATAATTTCATTCTATTTTCAAAATTAGATACCGATCACGTTTTTCGTGACTTTTGCTCTTTCGCTGTTTGAGAGTGAAGTTTGCCTTCCTTTTAATAAAAGAAAATAATTAAATTTAAAACGATATCAAAAATCAAACCGCGAAAAATTAAATTTCAGCCTGTAACAATTTTGAAGCTTCCCCCGAAAACAAAAACATCACGACCTATATACGAAATTGAATTACGTTCAAATCGGAAGAAACGCAGAATCGGAAGAACTCGCGGTTTTTCCGATTCTAAACGCAGAATCGGAAGATTCTGCGTTTAGACGCAAAATCGGAAGAACTCTCAAACGCCGAGTCGGAAGAACTCTCGGTTTTTCTGCTCATAAATTATAGAAAACAAATTAATCAATAAAGTTATTTTTTCAAAACCCGTTAGGTTTGCCTAAAAAATAAAATTTTTTCCATAAACAATTATTTTGTCACTGAATTCTGTCCATCAAGGTCCTCAACATTGTCAAAAACTATAGATATTGTCAAATGCTGCCTTTTTCCTCAATATATTTTTAAGAATTGCCGCCTTGTCCTGATATTAGTTATTACCTGATGCGAGTTGCTTATTATTTGATAAGTATTGTTTTGTAGGATACCCGGGTTTACCAAAACTTCTTATCATACAATTCACATATACCAAAAACTTCTTGTCATACAGTTCCATACAATTCCATACGTACAAAAAATTGTCTGAAATCTCTATGATAAGCTTTTTTCTATATATGAAAATTGTATGACAAGTATTTTTCCATAAACCAAATAGTTAATTTTTTCTTGTTTAATTTCTAAAAACTTTTGGGCTGTGCTTGTCACCGAACGCAACTGACAAAGACTTTGGTTTTTTCAAAACACCAAAAGTTAGGCGGCCTCGCATTTACAATGCATAGAAAACGACCTGAAAATTAGACCTGTCTTTCACTAATGGTGTAACAAAAGTAACAAACTTTTGAATTTCGACAAAATTTGAATTTTAAAAATACCAGACATTGATCAAGACAGACATATATAAACAAAATAGTCCCCCTACACTTTGTTTATATATGAGCTCATTCATCTTATATCATACTAAAACAAAAAATATAACCGGTTACTGCGCAAGTAGCACAGAATGTTTCGACCAGTCTTAAAAACTACAACAAGAAAGTATTTTCAAATAAGAGTCGTTTTTTATTGGTGCGCTGTGATAAAAAACAACTGAACAAAAACTTAAGATTAGGCATAAATGACTACCAGATTTTTTTTACTAGTGAACTTTTTGATTTCAAAAAGGCGCTAAAAATCTCGCGTTATTCGGGTAAAAAACTTTTTACATTTTAAATTAAGCTATTGAAAGCTTTTGAGCTAATAAAATAAACTATAGCAAGCTTGCTAGCTCGCTTTACTTGCTCAAATTAGGACAAAAAAAATTTCAACCGGTTTTTCCCCACACTGGAAAACTTTTTTTGAAACGTTTTAATGACATTCGAATCACGACTTTAAGGGCTTTATTATGATATATCACTCTTTTTTTTCGATGATTAATGGTGATAGCTGATTATGCTTGAAAAACTAGATACCCATCACGTTTTTCGTGACTTTTGCTCTTTCGCTGTTTGAGAGTGAAGTTTGCCTTCCTTTTAATAAAAGAAAATAGTTAAACTTAAAACGATATCAAAAGTCAACCGCGAAAAACTAAATGTGAGCCTGTAACAATTTTGAAGCTTCCCCCGAAAAAAAACATCACGACCTTTATACGAAATTGAATTACGTTCAAATCGGAAGAAACGCAGAATCGGAAGAACTCGCGGTTTTTCCGATTCTAAACGCAGAATCGGAAGATTCTGCGTTTAGACGCAAAATCGGAAGAACTCTCAAAAGCCGAGTCGGAAGAACTCTCGGTTTTTCTGCTCATAAATTATAGAAAACAAATTAATCAATAAAGTTATTTTTTCAAAACCCGTTAGGTTTGCCTAAAAAATAAACATTTTTTCCATAAACAATTATTTTGTCGCTGAATTCTGTCCATCAAGGTCCTCGACATAAACATGCCATACAGAAGAACTACAAGTTTTCAGCAATATTGAATCAAGAAACCTCATGAAAAAATTTGAGAAAATTACCTATAGTCCCCCTACACTTTGTTTATATATGAGCTCATTCATCTTATATCATACTAAAACAAAAAAAATAACCGGTTACTGCGCAAGTAGCACAGAATGTTTCGACCAGTCTTAAAAACTACAACAAGAAAGTATTTTCAAATAAGAGTCGTTTTTTATTGGTGCGCTGTGATAAAAAACAACTGAACAAAAACTTAAGATTAGGCATAAATGACTACCAGATTTTTTTTACTAGTGAACTTTTTGATTTCAAAAAGGCGCTAAAAATCTCGCGTTATTCGGGTAAAAAACTTTTTACATTTTAAATTAAGCTATTGAAAGCTTTTGAGCTAATAAAATAAACTATAGCAAGCTTGCTAGCTCGCTTTACTTGCTCAAATTAGGACAAAAAAAATTTCAACCGGTTTTTCCCCACACTGGAAAACTTTTTTTGAAACGTTTTAATGACATTCGAATCACGACTTTAAGGGCTTTATTCTGATATATCACTCTTGTTTTTTCGATGATTAATGGTGATAGATGATTATGCTTGAAAAACGAAAACAATATATTAAAAAGAAGAAAAATTAAAACACGCCCAAATATATAGTTCCTCCTCATTTTTCAAATGGTCTGAACAATAATGAGACCAGTGCAGCAGGAACAAAACAAGTTCATACAATTGTAATAGAAAATTTTCATTGCATTGTTTCCAGTCTTTTATATACTAGCTTGATCTTTTGTTTTCGCTGACTAACTAATCAGTCGATAAAAAACTTTAATGATTTGTCCAACATAACAGTTACAGAAGTGAATTTACAGTTACAGAGTTAGACACCTGGGTGAAAAAACGTTCACTGAGAAACCTGATAATTTAATTTTATTTTCAAAATTAGATACCCATTACGTTTTTCGTGACTTTTGCTCTTTCGCTGTTTGAGAGTGAAGTTTGCCTTCCTTTTAAAAAAAGAAAATAGTTAAATTTAAAACGACATCAAAAGTCAACCGCGAAAAACTAAATGTGAGCCTGTAACAATTTTGAAGCTTCCCCCGAAAAAAAACATCACGACCTTTATACGAAATTGAATTACGTTCAAATCGGAAGAAACTCAGAATCGGAAGAACTCGCGGTTTTTCCGATTCTAAACGCAGAATCGGAAGATTCTGCGTTTAGACGCAAAATCGGAAGAACTCTCAAAAGCCGAGTCGGAAGAACTCTCGGTTTTTCTGCTCATAAATTATAGAAAACAAATTAATCAATAAAGTTATTTTTTCAAAACCCGTTAGGTTTGCCTAAAAAATAAACATTTTTTCCATAAACAATTATTTTGTCGCTGAATTCTGTCCATCAAGGTCCTCAACATTGTCAAAAAGTATAGATATTGTCAAATGCTGCCTTTTTCCTCAATATATTTTTAAGAATTGCCGCCTTGTCCTGATATTAGTTATTACCTGATGCGAGTCGCTTATTATTTGATAAGTATTGTTTTGTAGGATACCCGGGTTGACCAAAACTTCTTATCATACAATTCACATATACCAAAAACTTCTTGTCATACAGTTCCATACAATTCCATACGTACAAAAAATTGTTTGAAATCTCTATGATAAGCTTTTTTCTATATATGAAAATTGCATGACAAGTATTTTTCCATAAACCAAATAGTTAATTTTTTCTTGTTTAATTTCTAAAAACTTTTGGGCTGTGTTTGTCACCGAACGCAACTGACAAAGACTTTGGTTTTTTCAAAACACCAAAAGTTAGGCGGCCTCGCATTTACAATGCATAGAAAACGACCTGAAAATTAGACCTGTCTTTCACTAATGGTGTGTGTAACAAAAGTAACAAACTTTTGAATTTCGACAAAATTTGAATTTTAAAAATACCAGACATTGATCAAGACAGACATAAACATGCCATACAAAAGAAATACAAGTTTTCAGCGCTTTTGAAGAAAAATTTTTAGGCGAAAAGTCAAAAAATTCAACATGATGCATCGAAGAGTACGTTATGCACACAAAAAATTAAATTTTGCAAGTTTGTTTGCAAGAAATGTTTGTTTGAGTACAAAATTCAATTTGCGGTTGAAAAAACCGAAAAAAAGAAATAGGGCAATTTCAAAGGTGTATTATAAGGATTTTGGGAATTGTTTGATGAGCATTTTTTTCATAAAACAAAAACATCGGTTTTTTCATCACCAGACGGTTTTATTAGAATCAAACAGCCGCAGAATTGAGTTTAAATATTTTTTCAACCAATTTTCGAAACTGTATGAAAATTGCATGCCAAGAATTTTTCCAAACATTCGATGTATGGAATTGTATGATAAGCGTTTTCGGTTTATGGAGGTCAACCCGGGTAATTTCTGTGCAATCAGATTAATTTATTTGAAATTTCAAAGACATAATTATGTAACATTTTAACAGTTCTGAGTCATATTTTTTAAATTACACCTGAAAAGTCCATAATAAGCGGTTGTATGCTCATATTGGCGAGGAGCAACCGGTTGCCGTGCCCTTAGCACATATTGTCCGACCAAGGCAATTAAAAAACAATGTCTTATTTTTATCTAAACCTGAAGGCACAATTGGCTAGGCATCTAACTGGCTGGCCTTTTTGTTGATCTTCAAAGAAGGGATTTTTTTGTTTTTATGAGTTGTGTAATTAATAATCAAGTATGTTCTCTTCTTAAAAACGAACTTATTATGACTTTTGTTCATTGTTTGAGGATAAAAAAGGATAGAAATTAAGCCGCAAATAGTTTTCAAAATTTGAATTTTGTAACGCTGAAAAATATATTTTCTTAAATAAGATTGAAAATTAGAGAGTGAAAATTTTCCCCATGTCCTAAAGTTTTCCCTCTATAACTGGTCGGAAAAAAACTAACATTTTTTTTTTTTAAAAGGATACAATCATATTAATGTTCGAGCAAGGCGTTACTAGACACTAAAACGAGATTTGAATTATTTTCCATTCCGATTTGTTCACCTGTTTTTTGGCCACAAATGAGACACTTGGGAACTGCAGGAGTAGACGCAGGCTGATCGCAAATCCTGCCATGTCTATGCAAAATCTCCGCCCTCCGTAGAACATCGTGTTAAATCCAACTATCTAAAAAGCAAAAAGTAAAAAGAAAAAAAGCCTACACAATATAATATGGTGATTCTCGCGCGTTATTTCCCCAGAAAAGCTCGTCGTTTTATGTCAAAATGTTGGTCTTTGCAGACAAACGCGGCCAAAATTTTCAGGCTTTGCAGACAAATGAGATACATCTGAGACATTTCCTTGGCTTTAATTTTGAATTTTTTGTTAGACAATTAGACAATCGCTTAGACAATTATAATTTTTTTCAGGTTGTCATAACTATATTCTTCGGTGAACTAAGCGATACAAATTTCAATATTATCAGGAAGTAATTTGGATAGTAAATTGTTCTTTCATTGTTTTTTCCCAATTTACATAAAATTCGAAGCTTTCATTTTGTAATAAATAAAGCTCGAACTCAAAAAAAAATGTTTTTTTTTTATCTGATATGTCACATCGCGGAGTTTCGCGACTAATTTCTACTCTTTCACAATCAAGATTCAGTACTTCCACCGTTTTCCGCGATCATAAGACCCTTTTCCAAATATGAACTTTTGGTCGGCACATTTTTTATAGTATCAAAAATTATTCGCAGATATCGACGCAGGCCTTTTATTTTGATACTTGAAATCTTTATTCCATCCGTACATTTTTTTGCTTTCACACTGGGATAAAATTACTCTTGTGTTGTAGACAAGCAAAAGTTAGAACACAAAAAACAAACTAAATGAAAGAATGTCCTTTTTAATAATTAAAAATTAGCAATTTTTCTATGAAGATGATTTTTATTTTTATCATAGCGAATAAAAAACGGATTCTGACTTTTCTACAAAAATTAAATTCAAAATTACCTAGAGTCTATTCGCTAAAATTGCATTGAACACAAAAGCAGTTGTTAGTTATTGCGAAAAATGTTTTGTTATGTTGCAGTATATGTCAGTATGAAGGTCTCAATATCGGTCCATCGCAATGTTCTAGTTTCATCGTGAACATAAACATCCTCAAAACTACTAAAAATGACAAATTTTTTTGCGACTTATCACAAATATGGATAGGCGAAATTTCGGATCGCGTATATCAAAAATTAACAAAGATAGCCGGTGGCTTTGCAAGCTGCACAGAATCATCCGACCATAATATTCATTTTTCAAAGTAGGCCAAAGATTGATTATAATTTTTTTCTTCAGTTTTCGAGTTTCAAAGAGGAAAATATATCAACTTAAAACTCTTTGAATTTCAAGAACAGTTTATGATTTTCTCTTTTTTGAACATACCCGCACCCAGTACCAAGAGATAACAATCAATTATAGTATGTTTTTAGTAGCTGTCTTAGTGAAAATTCAAAAAAATCTATTATAAACAATTGTTAATCGATTGTAACCTCTTGAAATCCGTATTAAATTATTTTACATTATAATCGATTATTTTATAGGATATATTTCAAGCATTTATAATAGATTTTTTTTTTATTAAATTGTAAATTAAATTTGTTTAGTTAAGAGTTTCATAATCAATACGTACAACAAATAACATCATATTTGTTCAATTGATATTACTTTTACCGGATACCGGGTATCCTGGTTTGTTGCTGAAGTCTAACATTTCCTTATAGTTTATATCAGAAGGAGCAATTTGTATTTCTTATCTTCCATACTTCCCATGACACAAATGTTTGCAAGTTGATTTTCCATGACGTCGATGATTTTGAATATGCACCACGAATAACCGCAACAACATACTTAAGCCTTGCAATGTTGGTTGATACAAAAACATCACGCCAATTGTTAATCTGTAATATGTTTCTTGAAGGTTGTAGCAAGGGACAACTGAAAACTAGGTGTTCGAATGTTTCGCATTCTAAATTACAATACAAACATTCGGGGGCATTCTCAAGAAATAAAACCACCGATTTTCTCGATCTTTAAAAACAGCGTACGCGAATTTATAAAGAAAGTTTTTTCCCATACATAGAGCCTTGAACTTTTCCAAACTTTGCCTGTAAATTTAATCAATTCTTCTTCTGAACAGAGGTAACGGTTTGCAGCAAAACACAAGCGGGAAATCGCAGCTCGATGAAAACTGCAGTTTTGTAAGCAGAAATAATAAACATCTCGCGATTTTGTATGTACTGTTATAATTAAACCGCTATTGGTAATGTTTGAAATAATTGCAAAATCACTCGAACTTATTTCAATAGAGATGTTCGTATTTCTCAACAAATTTTTGATTTCTTTCGAGAAAATAAATTCTGTTGGTAACAAACTATTTCGATCTGACATATCAGAAGCAAAGAAATCGATAATTTTTAGACTAAAAAGTTTAAGTTGTAGGCATGGTAAGCCTACCCCACCATCTAAGATGGGGTGATATAAAACTTCTTTCTTTATGTCGAGTCTGCTTGATTTTTTCAATTCTGTACTTAATAATTCTTGGCATTTACTAACAGTATCCAAGTTAACTGGAGTATGAAGAGCCAAATGAAAAAATTTAGGGAGAACATAAACTGACAGTGTTAATGATTTGGCCCTCAAAGATTTACTTAGTGAAATTAACCCACGAGGTTTTTGAATTTGAGAACTCAACAATAGTTCAATATTTTCAACTTTTTGGGAAGTGTAAAACAAGACACCAAGTATTTTTGTTTCCTTGACTGTTTTATAGGGTGATAAATCAGGTATGGAAAGCACTTCACTTTTACTTATGTTAATCATCATTTGAGTTTGTCTGCAAAATGTATTGATTAAGCGGAACAACCTGTCAATACATCAGATTTTGATAAGGCAAGTTATGTCGTCTGCATATGAAACTAGTTTGGGGCACAATAACCCGAAACCTTCAATTGCTTCTGTAGATTCAATTGCTTGAAGAAGCGGTTTGATAAAAACTATAAATAAAAATGCGGAAAGAGGGCAACCTTGTCTCACACCGCGATGAATTTTGAAGCTGGCTGATAAAAAACCATTTATCTCAATTACTGCTTTTGAGTCTAAATACAAAGTTTCAATAGCTCTAACTGAAAACTCATCAAGGCTTAACCCTTTCAAAATTTTGATGAGAAGTGATCTGTCAACTCTGTCAAACGCTTTAGAAAAGTCTAATTTTACAGCACATGAACCTCTGTTAGCCAATCGTTCTGGAGTAATCGCTTTTTTCAACTTTCGTATTGCTGTGTGCAATTGTCTTCCAGGCAAATACGCGTGCTGATGGTTTTTTACAACTTTGCTAAGGTCTTTTTTAATTCTATTACAGACAACATGGGCAAAGATTTTCGCGTCAGTATTCATGAGGCTGATAGGGCGAAAATCTTGTACTGCTATGGCATTTTCAGATTTCGGGAGCAGTTTGATTATTGCTAAACAAAAACTGTTTGGAAGTTTTCCACCATGAACAAATTGATTAAAAACTTTAGCTAAAATTGAACAAAACTCATCCGTAAATGTCTTATATAGCTGAGATGTAAGTCCATCTGGTCCAGGCGAGCTTTTCAAATTCAATTTGTTTATAGCCAAGTGAATTTCATCTTCTGTAAACTAATTATAGCCATCATTCTCATTATTTTCGAGTTTATTTTTTGATAAAAATGTCATTAGTAGTTGATCGGAGTCTGTTGTAGAATTATTTGAAAAATTTTTTGAAAATTACTTTCGAAATTGATTAAGAATATCCTCATCCGTATGATAAACGTTCTGATCCGCTTGAATTCGCTTGATTGAGTTAATTGTGTTCTTTGAGGTCCATTGACTACAAAATTTGGGCACACCCTCAAATGTATAGCTGAAATTTTTCTGAATTTTTCGTTAGTCTGAAAAATCTTTTTCCTTGAAAACTTTTTGAAGATGCTCCTGCACAAAATGATATTTTTCAATCAAACTAGGGTTCGGACCTTTTCCGCTGTGAATGCAATTTCTGAGAACATTTTCATGATACTTCAATGTATTAAGTTTTTTCTGATCTACACGCTTTTTGTTTTCTTGAATAAAGCTCAAAAGGTCACGAACATTGTGCTTAAAGTTTTCGTAACTACTTGGTGATTCATTTTCAAAAAAGTTTTTTAGATCTTCACGAATTAAGCTGGCGTTGTTTTTTAAAATTTCTTCATTTAGTTTCCAGTAACTAGGGCCGCGCTCATACAAGTTAGATGGCTTAACAAAAACGTGTAAGAGTAAATGATCAGAAATTGATATTTGAGTGCTTTGCATAGTGTCATACTCTGTTTCGAATTTCATAAAAACATAATCTATGCGCGCAAAAGTTTTATGTTGTTTGTCATAATGTGTTTAATTACAAAAATCATTCTTGAGTGCAAAATCAACAAAACCAAAACAATCAAGAATTTGTTCTTCCAGTTGGGTAAATCGTTTGATACGTGCATCATTTAACTTAAGTATTGAAGAACTGTTAATATTGTCATAACTCAGCGCATTAAAATCACCCATCATGATAATTTTCGAATTATTAGGTAAAAATCTGATACTTAATTTCAGGGAATTCAAAGTTGCTTGGAATGAATTTGGGTTTGCATAAACGTTGATAACAAACCAATTAAGTTTGACAAAATTTAACAATTGAAAACCTGTACTTGAAGCAATTCTTTTTGCAGGACTCAAATTTGATGACAATAACGTTAAGAAACCACCAGAATTATTTGAGCCCGGTATGAAATCGAATAAAACATTATATTTATCCAGTAAACTCAAATGTATATGTGTAAGTTTTGATATTTTTGCTTACTGAATGCACAAAATGAAATTGGGCGATTTTTTTAAAACTTGGCATTTTTTGATAAGTGAGTGTAATTTAGCTGGATTTCCTATGCTTAAAATATTAACGGAAAAATATCTGGTTTTTCGCACATAGAAATTTTGCTAACACTTCCCTCCAACCAAGTCTTCTCCGTTATTTTTTTAGATTTTATTTTAGGCCCTTTCTTCCGTGTTAAAACTGACCAAGAGGTTGGTGAAGTTTCACGCTCTCTTTTTGTAAGCATTCTTCCGTCAGAGGAGCATTTTCGTTTGTTATTTTCGATA